CTACCATCAAAAAAAGGTCATGGGATCCAGTTGCAATCCTGAAGATGATCTTAGCTGGGTCAAAGCAGGTTTTATATTCAATCCTTACAAGATCCGGCCTGATCCTTACTAAAGTGTTAGCTTAACAACCGTACATTTATTGATGGTTGGAAGTTTACAAAAGAACTAGAAAAAAAACCCGGCTTGGGACAATTTTTCACGCTTAACGACCGTTGCAACATCCTCATGATCCAAATTCAGAGGCTTGGCAAGCGGTTCATGTTTATGACGGCCATAGCGTCCCAGGGACACGACCTGCCACCAAGCAAAGGCCACGGGGAAGCCAGATTCACTTAACAACAACGTTGCTCTCATAGGAACTGCACCGAATCGCTTAACAACAGTGGCTAAGAACGGTCTTAAAATGGGGCAAGACTCACTTAACAACCATCTCACTCAGCAACATAAATTTTTGGGCTCAATTGTGGTCATTAAGTCAAGGGCCGTCAGAAATGGTGTAGGGTCTCCTGCTTGGGCCGAGGGGCTGGACTAGATGACCTACAAGGACCCCTCCAACTCTGATGATCTGTTAAAGCAATCTGTCTGCAGAAAAATACTGAAAGTGGATTTCAAATGTGTGTTGAGCTGGTGTCTTCAGAAGTGCCGCCGGACCCCAAAGATGGGAGGAGAAAGGTGTTAAAGACATGTGTGTGTGTGTGTGTGTGTGTGTGTCTAGGGCCCCTTTGGCTTGGGGGTTAGAGTGCAGGATTGCAGGCTGACTCTGCCCACTGCCAGCAGTTCAAATCCCGCCAGGCTCCAGGTTGACTCAGCCTTCCGTCCTTCCGAGGTGGGTAAAATGAGGACCCAGAGTGTTTGGGGGTCAGAGGCTGACTCTGTAAACTGCTTAGAGAGGGCTGTAAAAACACTATAAAGCAGTATATAAGTCTTAAGTGCTGTGGCTTAGGAAGGAGGAAAGGAAGGAAGGAAGGGGAAATGAAAGGAAGGGAAAATGAGAGGAAGGAAAGAAGAAGGCGGGCAGGCAAGCAGAGAAGGAAGGAAGAGGAGAAGAAAGGAAAGGAAATGAGATGGAAGGAAGGAAGGAAGCCATGGTGGTGGGGTGGCTAGAGCGTCTTAAGTGCTACGGCTTAGGAAGGAGGGAGGGAAGGAAGGAAGGAAGG